GTTTAAATCCTCACTGAGGATATGTTTATTGATTTTTAGAGAGAGAGAGAGAGTTAGAGAGAGTGAAAAATATTGAACGGTTGCCTCCCACACGTGCCCTGACCGGGAATTGAACCTGCAACCTTTTTGGTGTACAAGTCGACCCTCCAAGCAACTGAGCAACCCAGCTGGGCCCCCCTCCTCTTCATTTGAAAGAACCCACCTGCCCACCACAGCCCTTCCTTATGCACCCAAGGGCCACACACACTCCCAAGGGACACTGAAGTGTTTATAGCAACTCTACATGGCTCAGGGGCATTATGTTGAGATTTAATGAGAAAACTAACATGGCAGGGAGAAGTGCGTGGTGGGGGCCAAGTCGTATAACCTGATGGGGCAGAGCTGAGACCAAACCCCAGGTTTCCACCTCCTACAGAGGGTGTTCTCCATCAGGTTCACAGTACAAAGAACCTTCCAGGTGGAACTCCGGCTGATGTGAATGCAGCAGAAGCCCAATTAAGTTGGACCCTAGATCCCTAACTTAATTCAGATTTGAAGGGGAAGTTCAGGCTTAAAAGAAAATACCTATGTGGTCTTGGAGTCAAGGGTGGTTAAAGGGTTAGGATTGGCTCCATGGGACCCAGGGAGTGACTCAGAGAAGTGACCGAGGACCTCCTCCTCACCAACATGTTCAGGGGGATGGGTGCTTCTGGACTGATTAAGGCAGAGACAAATGACTGTCACTTCCAAATACCGGGACATTGAGACTCCCTGAATATTATTGGAAGGCAACTTAAGATCATTCTTTCAACCACCTCCTTTGACAGATAAAAAGGTTGAGCTTAGTCACCTTCACAGAGATGCAAAATAGCATGGTTGTTGTTGGGGCTAAGAAGAGCAGGGAGTTATTGTTTAGTGGGTAGAGAGCTGCAGTTTGGGAAAATGAAAAGCTTCTGGAGATGGATGGTGGCGATGGTTGTACAATATTGTGAATGAATTTAATGCCCTGAATGCACTTAAAAGTGGTGAAAATGGCAAGTGTGAGGTATACTAGATCACAGTTAAAAATAAACAAACAACAACAAAAGCTGAGCTTAGAGACTAAAGCCACGATTACAAAGACAGGGCCTCCCACAGCCTGCGAGACCCCCGCACTCCTCAGGCAGAGCCCACCCCCTCCATGCCCTCCCCGGAGGCCTGCCAGCCCTGGGTTGCTCCTTGGAGGCAGGCCTGCCCCAGGGCCCTTTTGCTTATCTGGAAGAGTTGTTTGCTTTTGTGTCACTAAGGGGAAAATGGGGCTTAAGAGCCAGAACTGTGCCCTGTGAGCCAGTTCCCAAAATAGCCAGCCCTGAAATGCTGCCCGTTGGAAGACTCCAGGGAACTGAGGAATTAAGGTGGGGAAGAATGAAAAATTAAGAAGGAAAGGTCAGACAAGACAGCTCTGCCCTCAGCCTGCTTGCTGGCCTGTCCAGAGATCCATCCCCCCAACAAGGCCTTTATTTTATTGTAGATCACCCCCCTACCCCACACACACACAGGGTTATCTCTGCTGTCCACCCTGAGCCATCCCTCCAGGATTGCTGAGGAGTAGGAAAGACCCTACCCCTTCAAGCAGAGCAGAACTTAGAGTGACACAATCAGAAGGGAGCTCCCAGCATCGAGAAGATGGTTCTAAAAGTGTGGTCCCCAGGCCAGCAGCAGCAAGAAGCATGTGGGAATTGATTAGAAATGCAAATTCTCAGCCCCACTCTGGACCTACCGAATCAGAAATACAGGGGGTGGTGCCAAGCCACCTGTTTTAACAAACCTGGAGAACCCCTGACCTGCATCGGAGCCCGTGCCCCTCACTTCACAGGGAAGGCAACCGAGGTCCGGAGAGGTTCCGTGACTCACCCAGAGACACCCAGACCAGACCAGGCTGTTACCCTTAACTTCAGAGTCCTCTGTTTAAGCTGATGATAATGTGGAAACCACACAAACAAACAAAAGAGCTGGAAAATGTAGAAGCACGCAATCAGTTTGGCAACACAGAGAGGAAACGGGGAAGGCTCTGCAGCCAGGCTCCCTGAATTCGAGACCCTCTCCACCACTTCTGGCCTTGGGACCAGGACCAGTTATTTATCCCCTGGGCCCATTTCCCCATCTGTAGAGCACGAGCAATAATAGAGCCTCCATCATTCCCAAGATGATTTTGAGAATTAGGTGAGCATCTGAGAGTAAGAGGTAAAGAGGGAAGAACCAAGGCCTCAGCCTCCTCTCCTTAGCAGCTGAGCAGGAAACGCCCAGAAACAGGAAGCCCCGCGGCTTCCAGTGCAGGAAGCTCCCGGGAGATGGGGGCACTCGCTGGCTTTCGCAGCAGCCCTGTGGTTTGGGCTACAAGACCCTCAGCCCCTGGGCAGGAGCCAGCTGCCGGGCCAGAGACCAGATTACACGGGGACCCAGGCCCAGCTGACCCCTGATGGCTCAGATGGCACAGGGAGAGCATCCAGGCCTGGGAGTCGGGAGATGGCTTTAGTCTCGCCCTGGGCACTGAACTCTCAAGGACTCAGTTCCTCTTGTGTTTTTCTGGCTAAAACAGACTGAAGGCTCATGGTATGGTAGAGATAATACGTTGACTGCGCTTGGGGTAGGTAATTAGCAGCATCTCCCCTGGTCCTGTCTCATTCCTCTTTTCTCACTTAATCCCATCTCCATTTAACAGTGGAAGAAACTGAGTCTCAGAGAGGTTAGGCACCTTGGTCAAAGTCACGCAGCCGGTAAGTGGCAGTGCCAGGGCAGGGGCCTGGCGACTCCCAACGGCACAGGGCCCTCCACTGCCTTGAACCCCTCCCTGCACGCTGGGTTCCTACGGTGGCTGCGGTCCATTCCAGCCCGAGGCCAGAGGGGGCAGGTCCATTCCAACAGCCTGGCACTGAGGACTCCGGCATCTGGAACCAGCCTGGGGACCCTGAGAGAACCCACTCGAACAGCTGCCTCAAAGAAGATTCAGGAAACGAGAATACACTTCCCCAAATACGCCACTTTGGCATACCAGCTATTTTGAGCTGGAGGCAGAGAATCAGCGGAAGCAGAAAGAAGCCGTCTGGGAGCTCCTCTTATCAGAGTAAAAGCAGAAACTTCAGAGATATAAGGACCACCGTAAATCCCCTGTCCCAGGGGAGCTTTATGGCCATGAAGACAAGGAAAAGCTGGTCCTGCGGTGGACGTCCACAAATAAACCTGACTCCCCATTAGTTCCCCCATATATATATACCTTCCCCCAGCTCTCCACCCTGGAACCCCTTTTTCTTTGTCTTGTCACTTCTCTATGAATTTATTATTCTTGCTTAACATGCTAAATGAGCCACAGATTCTAGCCACTCCACCGTGTCATTCATCACTGCTTGTTTTTCTCTTGTTAACCTGTCTCGTATCAGCAGGGCCCCTAACACCAACCCTTGGGAATCCACACTGGGGGTGGCCTTCGCCAGCTGGAAAGGGCCTCCAGGGGCAGCCTTAGGTGACTGCAGACCCCAAGGTCTTATCCCTGCAGCCTCTCCACCTACCAGCTTCCCTTCCCAGAAACCCAAGGCAGTGCCGCTCAGGGATCAGGAGCATGGAGTCTGGCTCTGGGGTGGGCCAGTTCTCAGGGACTTGCTTGCTGTGTGACCTTGGGCAAGTATTTTAACCTCTCTAGGCCTCAGTATCCTCATCTGTAAAATGGGATTTACTGTGAGGATTGAAAGAGATCATGTAACATAGACCACATAGCAACTGCAAAGGAACCATATCTGGCACCATGAGGAAAGCAGAAGAGACATTTCTGCACAGTTACCAACCAGGACTGACCTTGAGGCTCTTCAGGTAAGACAGTTACCTGACCTTTAGCTTTCATTACACTGGAAGAACAGAGAGAAGAACAGAGAGAAGGCCTATTTGTTTTCAAGTTTACATTTTGCTAGTTCTGAATATATTAAAAATGCAAAATCAGATACTTGAGCCAAAAAATTCCCCAACAAATGTTTTGCAAAAATTATTCAGTAAGTGTTGAGTCCGACACGGGCTGAGTTTCTGCTCTAGCCATGAAAATAGGATTTAGAAAAAAATTACTTAAGGAGTGATCCCGATTTCAGATGAAAAGTCGGCTCTTCAGGTAAGACAGTTACCCAATTCCTCAGAGGTTGACAGCATCAGAAACGTCTGGGAACTTGTTAGAGTTCAGATTCTGGAGACTGATTCTGTGGGTAGGGCTGGGCCCAGGACCATGGCTTCTGGCACGTGGACCACATTTGCATTAGCCAGGTTTAATGGAATCTCCCAGCCCCTCTTAATGACTCCCTTTCAAAGAATCCACTTAAACAGAGGTCTGTTGTACAAAGCAAGCTATCTCTCTAATGACTGTTTCCCCCAGGATGTTTATGCCTTTTAGCTTGAGACTTATTTTCAGATCTTAAAAGTAATCTTTGCAGGCTTCATTTCTGCAGAATGGAACACAATAATTATACAAAAAATGAGGTTGTTGTATGTTCCATGTCTGCTAGACGCTGTGCTCATTCTGGGGGAAGCTCTTCTTGAGGAAGCAATGGGATGGGAGTGGAAGTGGGTCTAGGCAGAAATCAAAGGGGACGGGAGCAGATCGATGCTCCCCACCCCAAGGTCAGTGTGCTCCCAGGAAGGCTGAAGCTACTGACCGTCTAAGACTCTCGGGGGCCCCACTGCACCGGGGCCTGTGTGGGGAGCAGGTGAAGCTCACTGGCTGGCACCTGAGAACAGGCAGGGCGGCACTGCTTCTATCGGGGTCACAGGAGAGCACCCGGAGCTCTGTCCGGTCCTATGAGCACACAATGGTGCCAGGACACACTCCCGTCCAACTCGCCCCGCAGCTGGGTGCCCGTTTGCCTGGTGAGAGTCACTCTGTGTAAGAGGTGGCACCCCTTTTTGAACTCCTTTGCTCCCTCTTTTCTCGGCCCACTCCCAATACCTCGTGGAAAATTCTGGGGACAGTGTCCACCAGACTGGAGAGCCAGGGGCCCCGCACTCACCAGGCTTAGCTTTCCTGATTTCACTGTACACTGTATCCGTGCCCTTCATTTTCAGAACTGGAAAAGTACCAGGCACAGGTTAATAGCTGCTTCTCGACACCAGGTTGGCCCACTGCTGAAGCAGGAAAATAGCTGAGGCTCCCCAGGCAAGGCTGCACCCCACTACCCCACCCCACGAGTGCCCTCCGCAGAAGCGCCTAGAGACCCCCTCACCACTAAGCCTGGGCCATTCCCCACCTTTAGAAGATCCTGGTCTAACCAGAGTCGCTCAGCCTGGAAGTATGAGGTCAACAGGTCACCATGGGGACCCTGGACCTGAGAGGCCTGCAGCCTCCAGTTTGGTGGCCTCATCCCTCTTTCCCTGTCACTGTGTCCCTGTGTCCAGCTGCTCCAACAGCCTGTCCCAAGAGGCTGGGCTATGGCTTCCCAATCGCCCAAGGTCTGGGCACCACCTGGGCATCATCTGTGAGTAAGGATTAGCTGGGACTGAGAACCCCTTACAGATCTAGACAGCTGGGCTGCGTGATTTCACACACCGCGCCCGGGACCCTGTAGCTGCTGTGGGAATTTGCCTGGGGTGGGCCCTGGCTTTGGTCTTTTTTAAGTGCTCCCCAGAGGATTCTTTTTTTTTTTTTAATTTATGTTTATTGATTTCAGGGAGAGGAAGGGAGAAGGGGGGAGAGAGATAGAAACATCAATGATGAGAGAGTCATTAATCAGCTGCAGCCCGCAACCCGGGCATGTGCCCTGACCCGGAATCGAACCCCGATCTCCTGGGTCCTAGGTCGATGCTCAACCGCTGAGCCACGCCCAGCCGGGTCCCCAAAGGATTCTGATAGGCAGACTGGGTTGAGAGCCTCTGGTCTGGACTGTTTCGAAACAGCAGACAAGATGGGCCACCACAGGTGTGGATTCCACCCAGAGGAGACACAAGGGTTTGGGAGACAAAGAGCAGCCACTGGGTCATCTGTTTATGTATATGCACCAGTTGTGTACACACACATGTATACAAACTCCTAGTGCATCTACACTCATTGTACATACACATATAGTAACACACACAGTATGCACACACAGACATGCACAGCTGTGTACACACTCACATACACACCCCCACAAACCCTCAGGAAACAGGATGCAACCCAGCTGCTTCCCTGGCTCCTCTCACCTGCTCAAAGGACCAGGCCTCATTGTAGAAAGGCTTCTGATCCATGTGGCCAGCATCCTCCCCCTGCGCACTGGGAAACAGCCCCCCACAGGGTAAGACACTTTCTGCTGCCAGTCAGTGCCATGTTTTCTTCCTCGGTGGCAGGTGGCCGGCACACACCCATGGACTCTAACTGCACCAAGATACCCTCAACCTACCGTGCTCCAGAGACAGCTCCCTCTCTCACCCCTGATCCTGCACAAACTCCTCCACTGCCTGCACGGCCCTTTCTCTTTGCTCCATTCCTCCTAGTCCTCCAAGCCCCAGGACAAGCTTTGCTCCTGTACGTGGGTGCACCCTCACACACCAACACACTCCCTCACACACTCACCCCTTCCTGTGCCCTGGGCAGTCACATAGGCCTCTGGGCTCTCACAGCACTCTGGGGACACTTGCCCGTGACACACTGACAGTATTTGTCCCCACGACTATCTCCCCTGGTGGCCCTAGCACTCCTCCAGGGCAGCGCCTGAGGTCTTGTGCACCTCCCAATCCCAGGCCCTGTAAGGCTACTGGAGGCACCTGTAAAGGTTTGATGTGACAGTAAAGGCACCGGTCAATGTCCCTGTGCGTACCTCTATCTCAGACCCATGACCTTCAGGAAGGTCTGGGCACAATCAGCTGATTGCTGAGGTTTTTGGTTTTAGGATTAAAATCCCAGTCATCCATACACACTGAATGGTGGTGGTTCTGTGACAGGACCCAAATGCCAGAGACAGTGTGGGGATGGTTCAGATCCCCACAGCTGAACCTGGGGTTGCCAGGGCCTTGCAGAAGGCATCATGGCGGCTCCCCTGTGGCACTGAGCAGCAGCTAGAACTCAGTAGAGTGGCTGAGGTACCGGGCACCTCCCTGATGGGACACCTGCCTCTCCCTAAGAGACAGCAGAGATGCCCACACTAGTATCCCTCTGTGACACAGATTTGGGGAAGTAAAGGGAAGCTCCAGGGACCCTCATATCTGCAGGGATCCACCACATCCCCAGGGGACTCTCTGCTCAATGTCAGGCTTGGCAGGTCACTCGTTCAGTGTGATGCTAAAGCTATTATGTGTTGGGCACCACAGAAGAGGAAACAGTGAACTGCACCTGGCCCCAGCCTTCTATGGGGTGATGCATGGGTGTGCAAACAATGCTGCGGGATGCTGTGTGCCAGATGCACCGTGGGCAGAGTCACTGCCAGCTCACCCTCTGACCCAGCCCCACGTGGAAGTGGAGGAGGGGCGGGGGAAGGAATGGAGCTGGGGGGTGGACGGCCAAGCTTGGGGCCCTGGACACCCTTGTGAACTCCACTGCCCAGGCACATCAGGGGTGGCCAGGAGACCTCTCTGGTTACCTTGGGGACACTAACACCCTCTGGGCCTGAAGAGCTGCACGCCCGGGCAGCAGGGCGGCTGCCTCTTCTTGGTGGCCCCGTGGCTTCCCTCGCCCTCCTGGTCCTGCCCAGGTCGGTGGTGGGTGGGAGCTTGCAGCCCATCACCACCCCTCCCCTCGCCGCTCCGCACAGCAGCTGCGGCTAATGACCAAACCAGCCAGCAGGCTGTTTGTCTCTGCTGTCGGAGAGATTTCCGGGCGGGGCTTTATTTTGGCTTGTTTTTCTCTGTTAACAGAGAAGATGGCTTCAACCTCATGGGGTTTTCCCAGCAATTAGCTTCAGAGCAAACATGCAGCACACCCGGGTCTACCGAGTTCCTTCCTGTCCCCCCTCCACCCAACTACGGACGGGGGAGGCCTTGAGGACTGGGTTGGCCGAGACCAAGTTCAGTTTACTTATCACTGGCCTCGCACCCACAAAGCCTCCCCCTAGCCTGGTAACACCCTGCTCCTGAGACAGCGAGGTGGGCTGCACCACAGGCCGGGCCCGCCCTCCCCCACTGCTCTCAGCGGCCACAGGGGCTGGGTCCAGCAACACAGCGTGAATCCTCGAGAAACTCCATTTCCACCCAAGTGACCCCCATTCTAGCTCTGCCGAGGCCCCCACAGCCCCCATAACACCTTTGTGCCAACTGGGAAAAGGTGACCACTTGGGTGGTGGCAACCCTGCAGGTGCAGAGCTGGGCAAGGCAGGCAAACCTGCCTCACCCTGTCCTAACGCTTCGTTTCCCTTCAACAACCACCCCCCGCAATCGAGAAAAATGAAACCAGCTGCTACTAACATGAAACATCCCCGAAGGAACCTTTCTCCAAGGCCATAGCCCTGCTTCCTTCTTTCTCCTTCAGTGTCCTCACATCTAAAGCCTTCCAGGCATCAGGTAGAATCCTCTTAATTCCACTTCACCCTGTGCCCCCCTCAGCCCACCACCCCAGCAGCAGAGCAAGGGCAGGGCCTGGGCCTCTGGGGTAGCATCAGAGCCCGAGGGCACAGCCCAGGGCAATCACTGTCGGCCTGGGCACGCAGCGGGGTGTGGAGGGTCAACAAGATGGGTGTGTGTGTGTGTGTGTGTGTGTGTGTAAGTGTTTCTACCCACACTCGAAGTCCTTGGGCAGCCCGGCTCTCTTGTTAAAACCCCCTTTCTTCTACCCCTGAGGTCCCCTGAAGAGGAAAAGCTGCTACCCACGGACCAAGCCCAGCATGTCCAGCGATGGAGGGGCTCCGGCTGGACCAGGGAAAGCAGCAGGGAGCCCCCTGTAGTCCCACCGGCCACAGCCCACCCAGACTCGGTTCTGGGCGCGAGACCCTAGGCTGCCTCCTCTTGGGCATCTCGAATTTAACCCAATTGAACCGGTTGTCACCACGGGCACGTTCCTCCCAATCTCAGACGCCAAGACCACCCATGCAGTCATTTTCTCTCCCCTGTTCTGGGCGTGAAAGTTTCCATCCAGTGCTGTGTTCTGTCTCCAAAATATATCTGGAATCCATCCACTGCCAGCACTTTGGCTCGGCCCTCACCTCCTGTATCTACTGATAACATTCTTGCTCCCCCATCACGCCTGTCCTCTAACCAGCCACAAGGATTGCTTTTTAAAGAAGGAAGTTGGACCCTGCCACCTCCCTGCTTAAGTCCCCTGGGACTAGAATTTGAAAAGTGCCTTGGAGGCCCCCATGCCGTCCTCCCAGCTCCACCGGCCTCCTCTCCCTCTCGCTCTCTCTGCAGACACAGGAGTCTCCTTTCAGATCCTTAAGTGAGCCAAGCTCCGGGCCGCCTCACACTGCCCTTCCCATTGCCTGGGTCCTTCCCTCTCTGGGTGGAGCCACCTTCCTTGTGCCCTTCAGGCTGCAGCTTAAATGCCACCCCTCAAGCAGGCCTCTGGGACCACCTAAGCCGGAATAGGCGTCACCTTTCACGCCTTCTCTCTGTACGCCGTTCTGCGCACTTGCTATAACCTGATACGATGAATTCTTTGGTTCTTTGTTTGCTCGGCTCCCTCAGAGGCTCTACCTCTGGGGGAGATACCTTTGCTGCTGGCCCATCATGGGCCATTAATTTATTAACTGAACAAGTGAATCATTTTACAATGAAATAAAGAAGAGAGCTTCAGGCCTGCCATGGCCCCCACCGTCCTGGGTGCAGATGGGCCACACCAACTCTAGGGGCGTTCTGATTGCAGGCTGTGGGCATGGTGCCCAGTTGTGCAGCTCACAGCCTAGGGGCTGTACGGGATGGCGCTACCTGGAAGGTTCTCCACCCACCCCTGCTGACATGGTACCGGGAACCTAAGCAAGGACAGAAGGAAGGAACCCAAAACTCCTCCCAGATGGTGGAGCAAAAGGTGATAAGAGAAGGCCATCACCATGTGGCTTGGTCTGGAAACAGCCCCAAGCTTGCCTGGCTGAGTGGACACAGGCCAGCCTCAGCCTCGGCAGGAAGAGGGATGCATGGCAATAGCCCCTCGAGCTTCCCAGCAGCTGAGATGGATGTTCTAGCATTTGCTGTGGACCTGGCCCACTCCCAACCAATCTCCCCAGCACAGAACCAGAGCCAGGGCCCTCCAGGCCAGCCTGCCCCTGAGAGAACCATGCACATATAAACAAAACCTGAAACTAAAGCCAAAGCCACTATATACACAGGAAGGGGTTCTGTGCTTTCAAAAGCCTTTACCCAAGTGTCCCCTTAAATACCAAAGCCCTCACTACCTTCAAACATGTATTTCATTTACACGAACCCCGTCTGCAAGCAACTTTTTTTTGTTGTTTTTTGTGCTAATCCTCAGCAGAGGATATTTTTCCATTGCTTTTGATAGAGTGGAAGAGAGGGAGGAAGGGAGGGGAGGAGAGAGAGAAACATCCCTGTAAGACAGAACTATTAGTTGCCTCCCACACTCGACTGGAGCGGGAACCTGCAACCCAGGGATGTGCCCTTGACTGGGAATGGAACCCGAGACCCTTTGATCTGCAGGCCGATGCTCTAAGCACTGAGCCACACCAGCCAGGGCTGCAAGCAACTTTTTAAAGGAGGTTGCTGGGTTTGGGCAAGGGGGTGTACCTCTGGAAGAGAGCTCAAACACCCAGGAGTGAGGCTGGTCTCTAAAAGTCTCTCCAAAAAACATATTTCTTAGCACTTAGTAATTGCTCAATAAAACATACCCATTATTAGTAGTGTGGTAAATAATAACTAATAAAATTTTACACCTCAAAGCCAGGGCAGGGGTCATTGCTTCTGCCTTAGGCATGTTCAGCAGGTCTGTGTGCTGACCACCCCCCTTCCGAGCAACTGAGGGTGACTAGACACTTATCCCTGGGTCACCTTACCCCACCTTATTCTGCACGTCTGCACCCAAAGAGAGAGCAAAGCATGAGGAATCGCTGAGCGGCAGGCATTTACCTTTATGAGGTTCGAGTGAGTTCACTTCCACTTCTGTATACTCCACGTCCAAGGTCAGAGGGTCTGCTCAAAGGAAACACAGCACCCTGAGGTTAGACCGAATCCCCTCGGGGGCGGAGGGGCCTCAGACCACACTAGAGATTTCCATTCAAATGATTAAAGTATTCTGTATTTTGAGGGGAAGACAGCACAGGTGTAAGTCCATTCTAAGTGGGTGAGAAACCTCAGGCTGGGGAAGGCAGTTATATAACCCGGCACCCCTGGACTGTGGAGGGCCCCTCCTGCCTGGGTCCCTGGTGTTTCTGCAGTGGGCGGGTCAGGAAAGGACAGCAGCTACAGAAAACAGCCAGTATCAGGCACAGGGGTTCACTCTGGAAGCCCCCACAGCCACAGGCATAGAAAGCTGTCTCCCAGATGGAAAGGGTCTCCCGGAATGGGGAGCGAGAGGGCCACCTCAGCCTAGAGATGCTCCGAGAGGACGCAGAGAAATGTAAGTTAATGAAAGCGGTCAGGGGGGCAGGGTGAAATCTAGCAAATTAGTCTGTCTTCAACTCAATATAACCTTGTTGTATTTTTGAAGCCCCAAAGAATTGGGGTTTCTCGTCGGCAACTAAACATGATTCTGTGCTCAAGGTGTTCACAGAACCCCCGTAGTTCCTGCGACTTTCCGTGGCAATGACAGCAGCCCCCAGGGGAAAGGAATTTGGAGAACTGATTTAGCCCAACCCTCCGAGCTTTAGGCAGAAACAAGCAGCCTACTGTTAACGGTCTTCAAAGCAAGCAGCAGTGCTATTTTACTTTATTTTTTTATAGTGTGTTTTTCACTTCTATGAAATACTGAGTAAGTCCAAAATACTTGTAAGTTACGTATAAAACATAAATGATAACCCATCAATAGATAACTGCACGCCGTACCAGCACCCTTTTTAAGAAAAAGAACATTTCCGTCTCCTTTGAACTACCTGCGGTCCTTCTTCCCCACCCCAGCCCCCAGCACCCATCTGCCAGCTTTACCGAGACAGAGCTGACAGATAACATACGAACGTTTAAGGTCCAATCTGATGATTTGCAGCGATGCCGTTTAAAAAACACACAGCACCTCCTCCTCTGCTTTGCAAGAGAAAGGAGGTTCTCCTACCTTATCCAGGAGTCCTCTCTGACTCAGGAAGTTCCTTTCTGAGCCTAGCCCAGTTCTTTTCTACTAGAATTTGGGTCACTTTCCCATTAATGACACTGGGTTGTGTCTTTGGAGAAAGCAACCAGCCCTGTCCATTTTTCTTATCAGCTGCTCACAGGGTCGTTAGGAGAGGTGGGGAAACACCCACCCACTGGGGTATTAGTTTTTTTCCAAGGGGGCTTTTGTCATGTAAAGGTTTCTAATTAAAAAAAAAACACAAAAAACTAAATTATATAATTACCTTTATTTTCTGTTACTGGTTTCATTGCGTGGTTTCCAGTCTCTTCATTGTAACCTAGTATGAAAAATAACAATTAGGGTGGATGGTGATGGAAATTCTAGTTTTCAATCCATAACTTTTCTCTCCCCTCCCTCCTCGCCCCCACCATGGCAGGGTCTCCGGGCCCTGAATTCCCTCCTGGCCTCCCTGGGGCCCTCCCTGGCCCCACTGTGGTCTCTTCCTAACGTGGCGGGACGGCCACCATCCCTCGGGGGGCGCCCTTCTACCTGCGAGTGGTTCAAGATTCCGAATTGTTCATTTTGAGCAAGTTCATGAGAAATTAAACTGAACTGCGGAAGGGACAGACGGCTCTGTGACCCCGGCCGTGAAGGACACTAGGAAACTGACCTTCTCGGGCTGGACAACGGCACCCATGAGAACGGGTTTAAAAGGCGGTGGCTCCAGGCCTCAGTAGGCAAACAGGTGTGTACTCTTTTTAATCGAGTTGTTCTCTGTTGAAAACGATTCTTCTGACTGTTGTAAATAATTACTGCTGCTGAAGGACACATGGCTGTCCATTATGATTCTGAACTGGCATTGTGATTCCTAACATGTATTTATAAACTGAAATACTCCATGGAGAGACAACGTAAGAACTGGACTATTTCTTGCATTTTGGAAATTTAGGGGGAAGTCCTACTTCAATGTGTCTATATCAGCATTTAATTTAAGGTGTCTCTGTATTTCTGTATAAATAATACTAATAGCTGACAGAATTCACCTTATGCCACAAAAAGGTATTTTCTCTACAGCACTGGGTTCCTTTTTGCTAAATATTCACCAGATTTTTCTGAATGTAGTTTCTTAAGTGATTTATTTGCTCTTTTCTCTTTATTGGAGCATTACTTTGGTTACCACAAATGTTTTATTTCCCTTTTTAAAGGTTTATGATCCATTACTATAAGAATTGCTGAATTCTTAAAACATATCTCTCAAGTATGCCCTGTAAAAGGCATATCCTGAAAGTCTCTCATTTATATATTTGTTTGTGTTCTTTTCTTGGCTTTTGTTTGTTTGTTTTTTGGTACTTTTTTCTTTTTTTTCTTTCTTTTTTTTCTTTTTATTCTCTTTTTATTCTTTTTTTCTCTCTTTTTTACTTTTCTTCTGAAATTCTCTTCGTTTGTGGGGTACTGTTACTGAATTAGACAGGAGCACGGGCTTTCTGCTCCCAAAATTACTGATAAAGAAAGGAAGCTGCTCCGAACCTGGCCCAGGACAAAGCTTTCTGCGTGGTGTAGTCACAGTCCCCCCTGGAGCAATCTTCTCTTAGACCTCATGGGATTAAGAGCTCCTGGGACTGCCCGCCCCAGGACTGAGCTGACTCGAGCTTGCAATAGGCTCCTACCCAGGGAGTCCTACGTTGTTCCATTATATTTTAAAATGCCTCTACTAACAGAGAATTATTTCAGTTGTTTTCCTGTTGTGTCAAGTTCAAAAGGAAAATGTCTTGTGCTTGCAATAAATAATCTGAGAAGATGTTTTATCGATGCCTTAATCTACCTGGTCTCTCCTACACAGGGAGGGTGATTGCACCTGGGCACTGCTCAGAGTCTTTGAAGGCGACCTGCGGTGGGTACCCACAGCACTATCATTAGTGCCCACCTTTCGTTCCTCCGGATGTCTAAGGTGGTGAAATGAGACTAAAACGTTCTGCCTTTCTCCTCCTGTTTTTTCTTTTGCTGACCAGCTCACCACCCAGTGGCTGATTAGATAATTCGCTCCGGCTCGAGGTGGGGCTACCCCAGGAACTTGAACCCCAGCACCTGCAGAGTCTGCTTCTAGGAGGGTAACCGAGTGGGTAGCGACTTGGGAAAACCTCTTAGCAACTGCCCGAACCCAGGACTGTACCGTAAGGCCTGTTGGCTTCTGTGCTGGAGCCTGACATCTTCTCATTGTTGGAGGTCAGAAGTGGTGCTGCCGGCCTTAAAAATGAAATTTGAAAAGGGAAAAAATATACAACGTTTCTTGGGCTCTGATGTCAAACCAACAAAATAACCAAAGGAAGATCATGAGAAAACCAGAATGGGGTTTCCAAAGTGAGGCAAACTTGACTCTCTCATTTGGAAAACGAAAGTTTTCTTTCCGTGGTAAGATTACTTAACAAACACTTTTTGCTGTTAAAATTAAGTGTCAGGGCCAAAGGGAGCGTGAACAACAGGAATCCTTTCCTAGGTGAACCCCAACCCCCTGAATTCCTCATTCTGGGCCGCAAAGCTATTGTTCTCATGCTTTTGTTCTCTTAAAAAAATTGCTTTTCTTTTGTCTGCATACTTTTTGATTTGGGGGTTCAAGAACAGTAAAAATAGTACAACCGCTTATTTTTTAGGCCAATTCTATTTTGCCAAGTAAGTAAGTTTTAAAAATTCTATCTACTACCATTGTAATTTTGTAAGGAAAAAGGGATTTCACAAGTAACAGGGAAGGAAGGATATGACCTCAGAATAAAGCCATCTCTTCCCGTGAAAGGACAGCTGGCAATCTTCCACTGTGACAAGCACCCCCCCCCAATATATTTACACCCTTATTATTCTGAGTTTCCCAAGAACCACCTCCCAAAAACATCCTCGTAGCCAGGCTCTCCCTACAGACAAGTCCGCCCAGGCCCACAGAGCAGCGCCTCTCTTCCGAGGACAGACACTGACCTGGACATCTCCACTGGCATCTGCTTGGCTTGAAAAGAGAAAGAGAAAAACCAAAAGTCAGGAAAAGGGGCCCATGTCCGTACCAGATAGGGACACTCATTTCAACCACATTTGGCTTTCTTAAAGATTGGCTACCCATAAAAAGTGAAAAGAACACCAATATATTTCTGCTTTAAAAAAAAGAAACGAAAAAAATTAACCAAGTAGGTCTTCTCTCGGTCTTATTCTGAGAGATTTCACATCATTTCACTCAGAAATACGACATTCTGTTCTGTTAGCCAGGAGCTGTTTTCTTGAGTGGGACGTGATAGAAGTGAAAACAATGATTAGCCAGATAAAAAGGCCACTTCTGATTCAAGAGCGTCCCAAGGAGTAAAGGCTAAATCAACCCCTGTGCTTTGAATCCCTCGCTGGCCTGAGAGCAAGTCTGACCTCTAACCTTGTCTGCTCTGCGATGACCCAGTTCCCTTAGGAAGGGGTTTGATCTGGAGCTTGTCTTCTCAGAGGGATTTCCTGTTCTAGAAAAAAACCAGGGCCCCTCCTTATCTCTCTGCCCCTACCCATCCCGGGCAGCAGCACCAGGGCTCCCTCAGAACCTGCTTTATCCCACACAGATCTTGGTGGGTTTACTGGTGCTGGGCCCTTTTCCTTGCGTCCAGGCTAACGGGCTGTGATTCAGGCATGTCAGCGTGGGGTCCCGGTTTCCCTTCCTTGTGTGGCCAACCTCAAGCCCAGGGTAGAAATCACAGCACAGCAGACAAATTAACTGGGGGGGTGGGAGGGGCGGTATTCAGTGTATGTGGGGGTGTCTCCATAACACTCACACCCCTCTACCAACTGCAGGACTAAGGGTGGCCAAATTCACAGCAACGGCTTCTTCTGACCATACATAGATGGAATGTTCCCCCGAATTTATCTTTTCTGGGTTGCTCAACTCAGAAAGCAATCACTTTCATTTTGGCCTAGCTAAATCCAGTGGCAGTAAAAGCTCCACACCCACCAAAGCCAAGATCTTTGGTTATCAAGGTGACACCCCAAGGAGAAAACAACTGTCGTCAGTTACATCTCCTGAGCTCCCACTGGGGCAGAGCAGAGCCTCCCCTAAAGCTGAAGCCCCTCACACCTATGGCCGCTTTCCTGGCGAGGACCACCTGTCAGAATGCAATGAGGGAACTGTGCTCACCCTTGGCTTTCTTCCAAAAATAGCACTTGACCCCAAGTACCAAGATGGCAATTAACACTGCGACGACAGCCACTCCAATAAGTCCTTTCTTCCATGCGGCAAGAAAGACTGGAAATAAGAAAAATTAAAATAAAGAGCGTTTTTTTCTCTGCCAGCAAGAAAAAACCGTTAGCCTTAAGCAACAAATAAGACTTTTATTTCCCGTAACCGCACCTTATACTGAGCATCTCCCTCTGAGGGATTCTGTGTTCGTAGCTGGTGCAGAAATGGTTGTTCTTGCTACAGAATCAGCTCTGGTTTTAAAGAGGTAGAGGACTGATGTCGACTCCTCCTGGGTCTCTTCTCTAGGAGACCACCCTCTCTATTCACATAGGCGGGCTCCTCTAACCATCTCTGTTCTTCATGACTCGGTCCCCATGGCCATAGGTGGCTCATGGGTAGAAGTTTGACCCAAAATAGGCCATTTGCTATCTCTCCACCAAGAATTTGGAATTAAAACTGGGTGAAGTACTTCCAATTCTTTATAATAATTCCTCTTTTATGTATAATTTGAGTGGGTTTCTGTTGCTTTACAACCAAAGAGCCTGGAGGACACTGGTCTCTTAACCCTCAGAAATAAGCACTAACCCCCCATCCACTCCCTCTTACGAGCGGTGGGCCCTCTGGCCTCGCCCTTGGTGGCCACACGACACCTCGCTGTGGACACGGCGACTCACCTCTGACTGCCAATACGTTGCTTTGGGGGATGTTTTTGGCAGGGTTGGCTCTGTTGGCGGCCGTGCAGTAATACTGTCCCTCCTCTTCGACACTAGCCTGTGTCTTGTACCAAAAGGCCTGGGTGTCATTCGAGGTGATTTCGTGGAAGGGCTTCGCCTCCTTTTCTTTGTAAAACTTATAGGTGATTGGACCAGACGCTTCGTTCACGAAGCATCGAAGCACAAGTTCTTTCCCAGACTCCACTTTCTTCTTATTCAAGATAGAGAGCTTGACCTCAGCCACCGGAGCTGAAAAGCAGGAGAGGGATCAGCGCTGAGACAGGTGGGAGGTTGGGGCGGGGGCCTCCACCTACGCCGTGGCTCAGGCTTGGATTTGTCAGTCTTCGTATCCTGCATTCTTCGGTTCCTCCTGTAATTAGCCCAGGAGGGTAGCAACAGACACCTCCTGTCCCCATGTGCTGATTAAACACAAGATGCTAGAGACACCCGCCTTCATTTGCCACCTCAAGTATTGCTGACGGCCCAGCTTGACTATACCCATTAACTTACGTGCTCTGTGGAGGTCTATCCTGTGTGTGAGTGTGTGTGTGTGTGTGTGCGCGCGCGCGCGTGTGTGTGTGTGTGGTTTCTCTGCTTATAAAGATACATGGCATTTCCAGGTCTTATGAGCAAGTCACTTGACTCACGATCTTCCTGTTTTTCTGTTTTCCTTTCTGAGTGGTCTAAACCAATTGCTTTCACACCCTCATTTCCCACTTTCTTCTTACCCCTGAAATCTGACCTCCATCCCTCTGCTTCTGGAACTGGACCCTATCTCTGACTTTGAAGAAACTCCACCTGATCCCCTGACGGGCTTGTCCCTGAGTGCCCAGCAGATTAAGTCCAGTGCAGACCTTCCTCCCGTCGCCCCAGCCTTCCTTGGCCTCCCTACCGCTCTCAGCCGTCACCCCGCCTTTCCTTATGAACTCAGCCCCCTGGGGTCCTGTGATGTCTCCAGATCCAGGGGCTCTTCCCTCCTCCCCTGCCACTCCCTCTATACTCACCGGGTTTTCTGCCCTGTGCCTCTTAAATAGGGACTTTCTGCAAAAGTCAGTCCTGTTTTCCCTCTCCACTCTCCTCTTCGGAGAGTTCACCTACGCCATCGCTTCTCTTCTTGCATTTGACACGTAAACACACAGCACTGGGTGCCTAAATACCTAGCTCTGCTCCAGACTGCTCCCTGAATTCCGAGTCTTGATTTGCACTTGGGCGTTTCTAGCTGGAGGCCTGCCAGCCTCTCCTTCCCAGCAGATCCAAGCAGAACTTATCTTCCCCGTGTCCCCTTTCCCTGGTTCCTGGTTGAAACCACCAAAATTTTGGCCCTAAATTGTCTTTCCCTGTAGACCTTCCCATTAGTGTGACACTGGCACCTGACTCATGAATCACCCTCGTGAGTGCGGTGGGTGGCCAGACCGTGGAGCTGTGGGTCCGAGTAAGGGAGCCCCAGGCCTGGGATGAGGTGTGGAGGTCAACCACAAGGGCAGACTCTTGACGGGTGCAGCCTGACAGGGCAGCCTCTTTCCTCGTGAAGCATGAAGGGACAGCGGCAGGCTGGGATCAGGAGCCACGCTGCCTTGCCTCGATTCCCAGGCCCGCTTGCCTACCAGTTGTCTGTCTTCAGTCTTATTTGCCTCATCACAAAGCAAGGATAAATATTATTATGGGTCTTCCATGGCTGTTGTAAGTACTAAAGGGAATAATTTACTGAAATAGCTCACACAGGGGTGGACACGTGGGCAGGGCTCAGTAAATGTTATGGACCCAACTTAAACCAACAGTTTCACGTGGGCTCCCACATTGGCTCCTCAAGGTAGTGTGAGGTCTGAAGTCACCTCTCCTTCTCACTGACAGGCGTCGCGTTCATGTTCCCAGGCCCGTTCTCACCACGTCCGCCTCCCTTCTTCTGGCTCTTTACTCACACAGGGCAAATTCCCTGTCCCCAAGGCTGGCATTTGATGCCCTTCACAGTTGGGGTCAGTCGCTTTCCCAGTGTATAGTCAATCATTTTCCACTCCCAACCTTTGTTTCCAGCCACCCGATCTGACTAGTCCCTGGAGATTCTGCTCATGTATTTGACAAGGCTGTTAGGACACCTCTAGCCCTCTCTGCCAATACACTGTCCAGCCCCAGCTCTTCATGCCCTAAACTCCTATCACCATCAGTGCGGGGCTATTTCATGTGACAATTAATAATGTGCTGCCTAATAATGTTTTTCTAGGCTTATTTACACTGTTATTCAGATATTCATATATAACCAAATAGCTTCCCACTATTTTATCAGGCGATCTTGTGTTTCTTGTTATATTATTGAAAACATAAAGAATATGTCTTTTTTAATATGCCCTATAGCTTTAGGTGCTTAATATATATGGGTATTAATGCGAAAAGCATGGCTATTCTTAGACTGTATGTTAATAGCAGCAGGAATCTCTAACTCAAGATATTCACACGGCACATGTAGATAAAAGTTATTAAGCCAGAAGAAAGGTGGGAAGAGAAGGGAGGCGTATGCATTTTATAGCAGGATGCAGGCTATCTCAGGGATGCAGGCAATGGCACTTTAAGGCCTCTGAGAGGCACAGATAGAGGCTCAAGGAAAAATATCCGCCCAGGACAATGGGTATGAGAGTCCCAGGCGATTGTTAGCAAGTCCTCGTGAGACTACAGCCTGCAGCTCTAATTGCTGTGGGTTCTGCACGCGACAGTTTGCCCGACAAGGGTCAACAGTAGAGGAGAGCTTTGGTCAACGATTCTGAGATGGCTGGCAGTTCACCTAAAAAGGAACAAATGCTAAGAGAGCCCAAAAGCACAACTTCGAGCTTCCTGAAGTTGGGACACCTCTCTCTCATATTTTAACAGTTCACTTGAAAGGTTCTGAAAAGAGAGGGCACTGGTCACACTAGTAGCCCCCAGATATTTTCTGGCCCCATTGACCTGGGTCTTGGTCCTTCTTGGCTACATGCTATGTTTACAGATTTGGCATAAGTACCACCCATTTCCCTTGTCCACACCAACCCTGGGAAATCCCAAACCTTTGAAAATGTGAACTAAAGCCCCCACCCCACATGGTTAGTTTTTTTAAAATGCTCAACCAAGGATATGTTTAGAGAGAGGAAGGGAGAGAGAGAAGCATCGGTGTGAAAGAGAAACACCGATCAGTTGCCTCCCTGACCAGGAATCGAACCCAATACCTTTTGGTGTAAGGGACGACACTCCAACCAACTGAGCCACCCAGCCAGGGCCCCACCTAATTTCTTCCGATAGCACAGCAACTTACCTATCACCTTGACCGACAGAATCTCACTGGCCATTTCGAGATGGGAATGGCAATTATCCGCCAGGCACTGGTATTCTGTGTCTTCTGTGGGGTTATCTTTGAATACTGCGGGCTCATTTGAGTCTATGGTGTAACTCTCCAAAGTGTTACTTGCTTTTAAAAGGTGATAAGAAATAGGAAAGGTTCCATTTATGGATTGGCAGCGGATTTCGATGGTCTGTCCTTTTATCACCTCAGACGTGGAGTCATGGAAAATCCTGGGCTTGGAGAGCATTTCTAGAATGACAGAGAGAGAAACCGTCTGAAGCAAAACACCCCGCCCATGGGGTGCTTTCTCCAAACTCTGGGCTTTGCTTTCTCTGTCATCACTGTGATTTTAAATGCCTGCCTGTTCTATCTACCTTTACAGGTCTTTAAAATGGGCAGGTAGTGTGTGTGTGTTGAGGAGAAAGAGAGGGAATGCTATAAACAAAAGACATAAATTCAAGAAACACCTTACACCCCTCTAAATATATGTTTCTATTTTCATGTATCTCACATGTACATATACACACGTCCATATGGAATGAAATGACCTTCTCCCAAGAACCACCAGAAGAATCAGGGTGGGATGACTCACATTTGTCTTTTGCGTTATTTCCTTTTGAGTTAGGTGCCTAGAGGGTTGACAGTAGGCTAAAATCCTGGTTCATTTCAGACTAAGATCATGGCTGGAGAAACTTTGGCCACAGGTTATACTGAAGGACCATGACTGAATAATGACAGTGACAGTGACACCTTGACCGGAGTCCCACATTCATCTAGGATCCCTCTTCTCGAAGTGTGGTCCAGGGCCCGGCAGCACCAGCATCCTCAAAGCGCTAGTTAGGGATGGACCTGGGAACCCGGCCCCATCCTGACCTGCCTTCGAACCAGGCTTTGCACAATCATTCACATCTAAGAAGCACAGCACTAGGCGACCCCAGTACCTACGCTCTGCCCACCAGGAGTCCTAGACCTTCTGGTCAGCCAGGATCTGAATGAAAAACTAGAGCTTCGCTCTGAAAGTTTAGTGTTGACGAAGCAGTGTCCCCTCCCTGAACTTGTGGGTAGGTGCCTGCTCCAGCCGCCCAGATCCTGCCAATCAGCGTGCAGCCACAATAAAGCCATGAATTTGATTTTTGCCAGCAATAGTTTCTTTGCATTGCCTGTCCCCTGTACTCTAAGCAGAAATACCACTTGCTTCTGTTCCGCCTCTTGATTTCTCTCCCCTCTCTCTCCGTCGAGTTCTTACCCTGCCTGGGTCTGATCTGCCTTCAGACTGGAGGGGGTGGCAGCTGGTGAAACGTTCCCCGTCTCCCCTTCAACCTCAGACTCTGCGCCAGCAAGGACGTACTCACCACACACGGTTATCTGCACTGCGTTGCTAAATTTGAACACCTTGCCGATGCCTGCGACACAGGTGTATATCCCACTGTCCCATTTTGAGGCTTTCGTGGTGAAATTTTGAGCCTGAGACACATTCTCGTGTCCCTTCTTGATGGCGAAGTTGATTTCAGGTGCTCCTGGGACAGAGCACCACAGACTCAGGCTGTCACCCTGGTCCAAATGTGTGGCGGAAGATTCCAGCTTCGGTTTGGAAAATAGCTCTGAGAAAACAGTGAGTGGGAATGGAGTGAGATGTTTCTGAGAACTGCTCTCAAACCCCCTTTACAGAGAGTCCCTTGGCCCAGCTGCTTTTGGCAGAACCAACTCCCAACTTCCTGCAGAAAGAGCGCTTTTCAAAGACCTGATAACCACGCAATTGAAGAATGGGCAGGTTTTCGGCCCTTGTTAATCCAATTTCTTTCACAGACGTGGATTAGGAAAGTTTTGCAACTTGTAAAAATTCACCTATTTATTCATTCGCTCACATGTTTTGTTCCACAAGTATTTATTTCAGGCTACTTCTGGGCTGGGCACCTCACTTGGCATTGGGGAGACGACAGTGAACAAAGAAACAGTCCCTGACATCAAAGGGCTGATGTCTGGTGGGTGATTCAGACCCAGTGTTTGCAGCAGAGCCCATAGAGGGGCCACTGAACCTAGGCTTGGAGGGAGTCATCCAGGCAAAGAGGAAAAGGGTCATAGGCTGAGGGAACAGCATTTGGAAGGCCTGGCAGAAGGTTCAAGCTCCTGCAAGTTCAGTCGGCCTGGAACAAAGGGGGAGTAGAATAGGCCAAAGGAAGGCCTGCGGATCCTGACGGACCATGGGAACCACCTAAAGAAGTGTGGATTGTGTCCCTGTGGCCTTGGAGAGTGGGGGTGAGGGGAAGGGCATAGGTGTATGCTGTGGGGAGGTCTCTGGGAGAGAATGGATGGGCGATACCTCCTGAGGTCAAGTCATAAGCTACAACGTTCTGTGCCACTTTAAGGAGTTATTAGTACCCTCATTTAGGTTGGATGGCAACAGTAGTAAAGACAGAAGTTGGCTTTTAAGAGGTTTTGTCATTGCTTTATTTAAATATTTCCTAAATACATCAGTATTTCATAGTTATAGTACATGTTTCTGTTTTCAGCTACAGGGAAAGTACTAATTAAGTCCTTAACCCCTGTGGAGACTCAGCTCCTTCATGTGAAGCAGTGCACCCTGACTTCGAGGTTATGTCCCCAATGCAGAGGGAAGGAGTCAGTGATTCTTGAGACCATCTGCATATTGAAAATGGGACTGAGCCCGGCCGGGCGTGGCTCAGCGGTTCAGAGTCGACCTAGGATCCAGGCAATCGGGGTTTGATTCCTGGTCAGAGCACACGCCCGGGTTGCGGGCTCGATCAATGACTCTCTCATCATTGATGTTTCTGTCTCTCTCTCTCCCTCTCCTTTCCTCTCTCTGAAATCAATAAAGCTATATTTAAAAAAAAATAAAAATAAAATAAAATAATAAAAAAAAGAAAAGAAAATGGGACTGAGTCCCAAAGTTCCTCTCAGGAAAGCTTCTTGGGCTAGAGGTTTGGGAATGCAGGCAGGAATCAGGAGATCCAGTTCTACCTTTGCCTCTAAATTTGCCTGCTGTACAGATTTGGGGGTACAAATCAACACTGCCATTGTCATCATCGATGTTACATTGTTATGGAAGTCATTTCCATCTTAATCAGTCCACAGTGTCCTCTATGGGGAATAAAATAAAACTTTGAGTAAAGTGGTGCCCAATAATTAATCATTTTATTAAGGCAGGCGCCATCCTTCCAATTCCATGTCGCAAGTGTGGACTCATCTGCTTTCAGAGCTCTAGATTAGGAGTGGGGAAGGCGAACCAAGGAAGCTGGCATCCTAACGTGCCCTACAGTCTCACTGGGCGGATACCCAAAAATGGGAAAAAATGACTTAGAAAAAAATCCGAAAGCAATGACTTTACCTTTAAAAATATTTAAACAAAAAAGTAAAAATAGAAGCCATGTCGCTGAGGCAGGTACAAGAAGGTTTACAATGAGGAAGGAAATGTTAGTCTGTTTGTAAAGGAGCTCATGTAAACAGACCGCCAAGACCATGACGTGGACTGACAGGGGCCAGTCTTTGATTCACTCATGAACTAATATTTATTGAGCTCCTACCACGTGCCAGGTGCTCTGCTAAGTATCGATGATTTAAGATTAATTGAGCCACAGACCTGGTCATTCAAGAGCTCATACCGAGTGGTGAGGACAGACGCTAAATCTTTGCAGTGACTGTTGATGTCAAGGTATGAGCAGAGTGCAATGGGACCTGAGGTGTGGCCGCGGGGCTCTGCCTGGGGAGCCTGGATTGAGATTTGGGACTCAGTCCTTAAGGACAGCAGAAGTTTTCAGTGGACAAGGGGAAAGGACAGGCTGAGTGGGGAGGGATATTTGGAAGACGGCGGGGTCAAGGTGAAGGATCATGACTGAGCAAGAGGAGTTTAAGGCCAGGAATGGTTACGCCAAACAGAGGCCATCTTAGGGCTTCTCCTGCAGCTGAAGGATGAATTGGAAGAGAGATGCTCAAGGAGATCCCTGTGATAATCCTGGTGTGAGGGCCAGCGTTAGGGTGTGATTATAGAGCCAAGAAGACAGGACAGAGGTGACAGACCTGGCGGCACTTGGTGATAGATTGGGCCTCAAAAGATATACAGTGGGGGTAGAAGAAACCCTTTATCTATCCAAAGACAAATGACTAATTCAATGATTTTTATGTTCACAAAATTATTTTGAGCCTCCCGGCTTGATAGTAATAGGGGCGTGGAAAACCAGATGCATAAGTGGGCTTGGAAACATTTCCAAAGGCTTGGTTGAACTTGAACATGGGGGTGTTTGCCGGCCAGCTCTGATGTGGCTGGGTTAGCTCCACATGGAAAGCACAGAGCTCAGGCTCACAGGGCATGCAGGCCCAGGGCAGGCATGGAAGGGCAGACTGAGAACGACACTTTGCTTTCCTGGGCCAGGGAGACTGGTCTACTGAATGACTTATATACCCCACATGACACAGGCATCTGGATGGGGGTGATCAGCTACAATAGCATCTTGTGGTCCAGTGATGCTGTATGCTTTCCTAAAGTAGCCTGGCCCGAGGCGTAAGGATGCTTGCCTAACTGGAGAAATGGTCCATACGTTCACCACTTGGTCCCTGAGGCTCTCACAGCAGTGTGCCCATCCCTTTGTTCATTCCTCATTGCTCTGCATTCTTAAGGTCCATTTATGTCTGTGAATTCTTCAAGGGCAAAGCTCGACCTTAGGCAACTCTCTATCCCCAATAGGTTGCCCAGCAAAACAGAAGGTGCTCAATATATGTTGAACCGAATACTTTTCTCTAATGAGATGAGACATCTCTTATCAGTGAAAAATATCACGTGCCTCAAAATATTTGTCATGATCAACAATAAGCTCAGTCGCTAGCACACACTATAGACCAGCAGGATCCAGCACATATGCCCATCAGCCAGTTGGGTAGCTGGCAGCCTGCCTATGGTACTGGGGGATGCTGCTGTGACACTCAGTGCTGAACACACAGGAGGCTTTCAGTGAATGAGTGAATGAATGAACACCTTCTCTTGGGAACCAAGAAGTGCTGACTCTCTCTGCCCTCTGAAACACTTTCATCCTATGTTCATTCGTTCATGCAACAAATAAGTACTGAATTCCCACTGTGTGCCAGGCACTGTTCTTGGTATTAACGATACAGCACTGTATAAAATAGCTAATGTTCCTGCCCTAATCAGCTTACACTCTAGTGCCTGCAGACATACAGTAAACAGAAAGAAGTAGAAGACTTTTTTTTGTGTGGTAAGAGCTATAAAGAGAAGTAAAGCCAGGTAAGGGGGGGGGGGGAAGGAATCTAAGGGAACTTTTAAGTGCATGTGCTGAGAAGTCAAATAGGCCCAAGGGCAACTCTTGTTTTTCCACTTGGTAATCCTGTCATCGTTGGGTGCATTGCCCCCAACCTCTCAGCCTCAGTTTCCACATCCATAAAACTGGAATCATGATACGGATCTCATAGCATTGTTATGAGCATGAAATTAAAAAGTATGTAAACCGGTCACCGTGTTCAACAAAGGGGAATGGTTACCATTATTTTTGAGTCTGCTAATGCTTTCTCACTCCTGCCCTTGTCACAGGGCCCGCCTGGTGATCTAGCACAGGGCTTGGCACAGAGGAGAGGTAAGTGTGCTATAATAATAGAAACACTAGCTAATGCTCACTGAGTGCTTGCTCTGTATGAGGCTCCTGAGGTCACTCATTCCCTGCAGCAGTCCTATCGCTGAGTTCTGTCATTACCCTCATCTCATAGAGTTGTGGCAAAGAGAAACTCGGGAAGTCCCTGGAGGTCACAGAAGTGGTGAGTGGCAAGGTTGGGACCTGATGCCAGAATCTGCAGCCTCAACCCCCACTGCTAACTGCTTAATGGTTCTGTATTGACTTTTCCCCCCTGAGGGCACCATCCCCCCCACCCGAGCACATTCATTCAGACAGCATTCATTCAGACACTCGTTCACTCATTCATTCAGCAGGAGTGGAAGTATGGGTGTCACTGGCCATCCCGGATTCCAGCACAGTCGCCTCTTGAGCCCACCATAGGCCGACACCCTCCAGCAGCAGCCCTACCTGTTACGTTGACCACGATGCTGCTGACCTTGGATATCTGGCTGGTTTCCACTTTGCACGTGTAGTTGCCATTGTGCTCCGCCATGGCCATTACTGAGTAGGAGGCCTCGTTTTTCAGCTTGCTGTGCGCCACGATTGCCTTGTCCTTCTGGATTATGATTTCCGGAAAGGTCGGGGCGCTGTGCGTCACTTGAATGGTACACTTAATAGTCAGCTGATCTCCTTCAGTGATCACCCCGTCCGGGTCGATGTAGAACTTGGGATTGGAGAAGGATTCTACAAGAAGAGGACAAGCTGGTTGGGCTCAGGTTCAAACCTGGGTGAGGGAAAAAGGCGCTTTCTCCTTGCTCGGCTCTTTTTGTTACCAGCCACCTTTCCCCCTTATTAATTAAAAAAAAAAAAGTCAACCTGTCCTCTCAAAAAATTTCAACTAGGCGGCTCTGATGTGCCCTCCCTTCTCACTCATTCTTGCATCTTCAACCTTCTTCTTAATTGCAATTCTCTAACTTTCTTGAGCTTCCCCAGGGCTAAACCATCTTCTCTAGATCTCATCGGCAGAGCCTTCTTCAAATGACCTCAGAATTAAGCACAGTCATTAGAAACAGACTGTTTTAATAAACTATGAGTCAGAGAGATACCAGGGTGTGGGGTCTGCAGGAGGTGGTGAGGGAAGCAGGGCTAGGCCTTCGCTCCTGCTAAAAAATAGTAGACCACAGACAGTACATACAGATAGTGACATTTAAAATGCCAAAAGCGAATGTAGAGTGATATATTTTCATATTCATTAGTTTTTTTAACTATAAAATCATTCAAATTCACAATAAAAAGCTATCACTTTGGCCCTGGCGGGGTAGCTCAGTTGGTTAGAGCGTCGCCCCCATACGCCAAGGTTGCGTACAGGAATCAACCAATGAACGCGTAAGTAAGCGGAACAACAACCTGATGTTTAGCCCTCTCTCTCTACAATCAATAAATAAAAATTAACCAAAAAAGCTATCATTTAAATAAACAGTCTGAGCAAAGGTCAGAAAAGAGCGAACATCTTGTAGGACCCTCAGCAAGTGCCCTCTGGGGTAGCTTAATAATAACTGAAGGGTTTTTCTTACATCCAAACTAACTCCAGATGCACCAGAGACCTAAATGCAGGAAACACACACACATTTAAGCCACAGTAAGAGAAACAGTAAGAGGAAACATAGGTGCATTTTTTTCTTTGATCATCTTGGAGTGGGGAGGAACTTTGGGGGTGAATCACAAAACTGACTCTCAAAACCATAAGGAAGGAAGATGGATAAATCTGATTACCTAAGCATGAAAAGCTCCTGCACTGAAAAAAAATCATAAAATGAAAACAGTGACAAACCGGGGAAAATATCTGCACAGGACCTGACAAAGAGCTAATTCCTTTCACTTATAAAGGGCTCAAACAAATCAATAAGAAACAGTAAAAAATGGACAAAGTGCATATGAGCTGACAGTTTATGGGGGCAAATGTAATAGCCCAATCAACTGCAAACCTACGTTTGCCCCACCCTGATATATATATATATATATGATTTATATAAATAAAACTGTGTCACCATCCAAAAGTTTGAAAACTATGGAGCTAAAGTGATTAAGACCAGTGCTGAGAACAGCAGTCCAGCCGGATGTGCCCAGCCCCTTTCCAATCCCGGGCTCTTCCTCCCCACACCAAACCAGCAAGCCAGAAAGGATGAAAAACAGAAGAGCAGGACTCTGACCCCTCACGGTGACCAGATCGCTCCTGGTGGTTGTAGAGGTCTCCACTTGTTTCCCAGAAAAGATGCTGGCTTGACATAGGAAATAGATCATACGGTCCTGCTCCTCGACTGTGAAGTCCAGCATCACAAAATTCTGGTGCTGAGAAGTTTTTTCTTTGTGTTGCTTGACAGCTCTTGTGTCCAGTTCAACTTTTTTGACTGTGAAATATACCGGGGCCTTTTCCTCTGGGACAGAGCAATTGACCATCACGACCCCGCCTTCTATCGCCTCCTTCTTGTCCAGTGTCACTCTGGGATGGGCCACTCCTTTGGGGAAAGAGAAAGTCTATGAGTATCAGTTCGACTGAACAGCGCAGGCTGAGTCTTTGTGGTTGACCCACCTAAGGGTCCTTTGCTTTTATTCCCAGGACACCCGGCGCTACCTACTGGGTAAGTATTGAGCGTGCATGTGCCCAGCATTACGCCAGGGATTTTGAAGAAGACAAAATATATTGACGATGTGGTTGGTGCTTTCAACATTTATAATCCCATTGGGGAGACAAGTCTTCCCAAATGAAACAGTTCAAAACAGAACAAAACGAAGCAGCCAGTACTCATTAGTATTACTGTGATTGTTATATTTCATTGAGTGCTAGGTTGACTTTATACCCATGACCCCGTGTAATTCTCACAATAAACCTCTTGGATGAGCATGAAAGATAAAATTATGCCCATTTTACAGATGAAGAAGGTGAAGCTCCGGGAGGTTCAAGGCTCATCCAAAAGCTCATAGTTGTCAAGCCCTAGAGTTAAGATTCGACCCTGGGTCTGTCTGACTCCAAAACCAAAAGTTGGGGTGGAGGGGTAGGAGAGAGGAGGGTGCATGGCCTCCCAGTTCAAAAAGCAAAACAGAATAACAGAGCATTTTCATGTCCTGCACTGGTTGTTTTTTTTCCTGACTTGCAGCCTTGGGGAATGTTTCTTGAGGGAATGAATGAATGAATGAATGAATGAATGAATGAATGAATGAATGAAACCCTATATCTCTGAACCCAAATTTCCCACAATGATTTCTCTTCTGTTTCCCCATCCCTGTCCATTTCTATTTCCTCTTTTCATTTGTTTATTTCACATTTATTGATTGCCTACTATGAGCCACATTATTTGTTTGAGATACAAAAAATAGGCCAAACACTACCTCTTTCCTCATGATCTCACAGTCCAGAGAAGCAGACACACATGTAAGAAATAGTTGCAACATCGAGGGAGAGTAAATGCCACTTACTGGGAACTCCTTGCGTGCTAGTACGAGGCTAAGTCCTTTATCTACAGATATCTTTTAACCCTCTCAAAATTCCCTGAACTGGGTATTATTATTATCTCCATTTCACTGATGAGAATTTTAAAGTTTAGAGACATTCAGGGACTTGCCCAGATTGGAATCCAGGCAGACTGACTACAGTATCCAATGTCAACACTTGGCCCGATGGCCTTTACACAAATACCACTGAATGTAGAGAGAGCGTGAGAGTTGCGAGCACCCTGGGGAGAACAGTTTTATTTGGGAAAGTGTCAGAGAAGAGACCACTGAGTTGAGTCTTGGGGGAGAAATAGCAGTTCACAAGGAGATGAGATGAAGAAGGGAATTCCCGGGAGAGGGAACAGCATGTGCAAAGGCAAGATGGTGAGAAACAGCCTGTCATGTTGGGAGCATTTTCAGGTGAGGAAAATGCCAGGCAGATGAGTGAGAAAGGTGACGGGTGAGCAGGTGGACCCCCTGTCACTGCTCTCGCTGCTGCGTGTGGCAGCTCCGTCTGCTTGAGCTACGCTCGATCCCAGGGACTCACCTCTCACTGTCACGTAGTGCTCCGGTGTGGTTTTCACCTTGTTGTCCAGAATCACAGTGCATTTGTATATTCCCGCGTTGTAGACCCGGGCTTGAGGGATGAAATAACTCTCTGCGTTCTCCGTGGTGGAGACGTTGTGAAACAGCGTGTCATCCTTATAGAAGAGCAGCTGGTACTGAGGCTTGACCTGGGAAGTGGTGCTGATGTCCACGACGCACTGAAGGGTCAGGTTCGCCCCGTTTTGCACCTCCAGCCCTGGCAGGACCACCATGTGGATGCGGTTGATGGTGAAAGCTAAATGACAAGGGAAGGAGGGAAGACACACCTGCTGTCTCAGGAACAGCATTGTCCTGGTGACCTTCACCACATTGGGTTGGGTTCATCCTAGGCAGCAGAGTGTCCAGGGGTCCCAAATGCCTACAGGGGCCAGGTGGGTAATGACTCTGGGGAGTGGGTCAAGCATGAGGCCTTTAGTACTAAGCTGCTCATTTTTCCCACCAAAACGAGGTGGTGGTCTTCAGGGTGGGACAAACAAAGCATGTCCATAAGACCTAGGCAGCCCGTGAGCTGCCACACTGTGGCCCCTGGAGGGCGTGTAGGATTCAGGCAGACAAGTGTTCGAGTCCTGGTTCATCACTTACTGTGTGGCTTTGGGCGATTAACCTCTCTATGCTCTGCGCCTTCATCGGTATGAAGGGGTAATAATACTTACTTAGTGGGTTGTTGCAAGACTTACGGGCGAGGAACGGGAACACGCCCATACAGTGCCTGACATGCGGAAATTGCTTACTAAGGGACAGCTACCACTATGCTGAAGTCAGATGGTCACTCCCTGGAAATTTCCTTCTCACCCTCAACTGACACAATAGCACAGCCCCAGCTGGCGTTTTCTATCTGATGAGCTTAGAGGCCTCGCCAGATGGCTGAGGACTTGAAACCATGTCCCAGGCAGCCACATGCAGTCCCCATCCCCATCTGCCATTGAGAAGCAAAGAGCGCAGGTTTCCTTCCACTGATGAGGGAAATCTCCCTCAAGCACCCGGGGCAGCTACAATGCCCAGCTAGCTGCCCAATCTCTGCCAGAAACCAGGCACCGGATCGACTAGCCGAGTGCATCCTTTCTGGCCCTAATATCCAGCAACCATAGGCTAGCAACAGAATTCAGCTGACTAGAGAGCACATCTTGAGACTTATTCACAATGATGGGCTGATGGGAAGATGGACTGCTTGAAACTGGATGCTCTCTGGCTAGCAAATAAGTATTTTTGTCTGTTGGTTGGTTGGTCGTGGGCCACTGCTCTGAAAAATTTTTCCGGCTAGAAGCTTCTGGACCATGCTTATTGGTCAGGACTTTTGTCCGAGCTTCAGAGCAGACCAGGGCAGGTCTGTCTTTTGAGAATCCTCTTGATCCTGCTGTAGGTCCTTCTGCAGCCTACCTGGGTTCCTAGTTATGCTCCTTGATGCACCTCAAAGCACCTCAGCTCTACCTTGCCTGTGGTTTATTATCCAAGGCACATGGATTTGGGCTCAATCAGTGCTATAAAATAGTCATTGTCTAAACTCCTGTCCCCAACACCAACCTCAAACACCTTGTGATCTGCATATGGCTAGAAAGAATGGACAATATTTGGAGAGCGTGGGGGGAAATCTATCTAAAGTCCATGACCTTAAAATCAGGTAGCTCAGCCTCTTAAAACCTCCAAACTCCTACACATCTTGGCCATAACTTTCACCTTTCCCATTCTAAGGAGGCTACCTGGGGTTGAGAGTTACTTTGTTAGCTTCCTGTGTCATCTACCTCCACAAATGTGAGTAAAACAATCATGAGATTTTAAAGTTTTATTTAAATTTTTGAGTGGCCCTGGCCGGGCATGGCTCAGCGGTTGAGCATTGACCTGGGATCCAGGCGATTGGGGTTCGATTCCCGGTCAGGGCACATGCCTGGGTTGCAGGCTCGATCAATGACTCTCTCTCATCATTGATGTTTCTATCTCTCTCTCTCCTTCTGCTTTCCTCTCTCTGAAATCAATATATATTTTAAATAAAAAAAATAAAAATAAATAAAATAAATTTTTGAGTGGATAGTGTAGTCAAATGTTTCAAAGCCCCCAAAGGTAGATACTATGATATTACCTAAGAAACCCCAAAGTGCCTACTGACAAATCATCTGAAACAACATAAATTTTAAAGGGTGGATGGGTATAAGATTAATACAAAAAAGTCAGGAGAACGGTGACTTCTGAAAGGAAGTAGGGATAAGATTGGGAGGAAGATACAGGTATGGGTAACATTCTAATGCTTGGGTTGAGACAAGCCTTCCGATCACTGTAACCCTGACCAACATTTTATCTGCAATTTCCTGGCAGACTTGGATTCAGAACCACCCAACTAAGCCACTCCTGGATTCCTGACCCCCCAAAATGATGTGAGATAAGGCACCCAGGGACCATAGTGACACATCTTCGAGCCCTAAAACCAAGGGGCCTGCTTTCCTGTACCTCCAGCTGCCAGTTAGCGGATACTGATGTTCCCTGGGAAGATGAGTCATTGTGACTCAGCCAGCTGCTTGGCCCCCAACCTGGAAATGACTCAGAAAGAAAGGTGGGGGGAGTAAGGAGAAGACACCCGCTATTGTCAGGAAAATCAGAGAGCCATGGAGCATGGAATCCCTGCTGAACTTCAGTGCTCAGCATAGAGCATGCTGGCCCATCCTCTCATAGGAGTCTCAAATATTTCCAAATTCATTTGGAGTCTCCTTCAAGGAGATATTTACCTGTGCCAGGTGGCGGGCCTACGAGGTGAATACAAAATCGTGCCTGCTGTCGTGGACCACTCAGGCTGGCGGGGACCCAGATAACTGGCTTCCAGTGATGCAAACACCAAGAGGAAGGGCTGCCCAGGAGAGGCCAAGGAAAGTCTGAAGGAAGTGACTCCTGAACTGAGCCTTGAACCAGGCCAAGAACAGGGGTGATCCAGGTAGGAGAACAGCATGTACCAGGGCACAGGGGCATGAGAAATCAATGCATCCGGGCACAAACAGTCACAGGAACCAGAGTATGGGGCCAGAGGGGCCAAGGGAGCCAGGTAGGAGGTGCCAGAACAAAGGGCCTTGCCCGCCATGCTGACAAGCTGGGCCCTGTCCTGGGGGTGTTTAGAAGGGTGACGGTGACACTGGAGCTTTAGAAAGTTCACTGTGGGCTGGAGGGAGAGACCAGCTTGGACAGGGGTTCAGGTGAGAGCGGATGAGGCCTGAGCGAGGGCAGGTGCGGTGGGAATGAAGGGAAGGGATAGATTTTAGAAATATTTAGTGGACACAAAAAGGGAGGAGGGGAGGTAAGAGTTTCTGGAACTAGACAGTGGTGATGTTTGCACAACATCATGAACGTACTAAACGTCGTTGGTAATAAATAAATTTTGTATTACATGCATTTTATTTAAAATTGTTTAAAGGATTACTTGATTGAATATGGGAGTTGAGGCAAGACTCCAAGATGAGGTCCCTGGATTGGGTGCAGGTGTCGCCCACTGAAGTAGAGGATGGCAGGAAAAGATTAGGGTGAAGAAAAAAGTCAGGTGATGGCACAGTTCTGGGGGGAGCTGGGACGTGGCTGGGAGGCGATGTCACCCACTGGCCCCGTATATATGATGCTCAGGGGAGAGGCCAGGGCGCCGCTGGAACTGGGGGTATGTGGGGGTGGAGAGGGGGGTCCAGCTCCAGAGAGGGCAAGGCAGGGGGCCTGCAGAGACAAGGGG